CGGAGTCTCCTTGTAGTACATGGCTTTCTCGCCTTTTACCTTCAGAAGAATGAGACCGCATACGCAAGGTGAATACGATAGCGATACCTGAAGCATTCCTGTCATTCCGAAGTGCAGGACTGGAAGTTTTCCTTTTCCTTCAAGTTCTAAGAAGAAGGATTTTCCTGTGCACAATTAAGGTTGAATGCCGCCACAGAATGCAAGTCTAAGCAGAATAGTATCACCATATCGTTTCACACCGGTGATCATTCTGCCCGTTATCTCATTGGCCTATCGATGATCTGAGGCGTCGGAAAGCGAGTAGATAGATTGTCACTCACAAAGTCTTCATGGGTCGTTTCTGAATATACATTGTTGTCTTCGGTGGTTTCGACTCTTTCTATCACTTTGTTCAAACCTATACGCCGAATGTGCTTCACTGCACGCTCTACCTCTGAGAAAATGCCGTCGACAATGAGTTGAATGCTATTAGGAAGCATCGACCTTACCTGGGAGTTCTGGCATACTTGAATTGACTACCTTTGGATATCCGAGTGAGCTTTTCGGATGGCAGGAGGTCGGCAAGATCACATGATAGGTGGCAGCCGGACCGAGCTTCGGCATATTCATGGAACTCCCACTTGTGGATGTTCGTTGTCTGTTTCGCGAGAATCATCATTGACGTTCGTTATTCTGTCTTCGGACAGTTCGGGAGATACCCCTCGAGCAATCGCGGTCGCTTTTCTCACTCTGGCTCTTGGGTGAGCGTTATACAATCAACTACCTTTGTTCTAACAATGTTCATTTCAGTGCGACAAAATTTCGTGCACATACTAGAGTCTACTTTGCCTTTCGTTTTGAAAGGGACTTCGAAGGTCGCAATGATCACTCCGTTTGCTTTTGGTGTAGCCGGTTTTGGAACGGGCATGATTGTTGATTAATACGGTACTGCCTGGATCATCCTCCTTGCCTTTTTTTCGTACCTTGCTATGATAGGGCATTGATTAATATTGATTATTGACAACCTACCACGTTCTTTCACTGAATGCGTTCTATATGATATTTTACCAAGTGTCTCCGATTTGTGGGCCTTTTCTTTTCCGATGCTATTGATGACACTGAGTTTGCCGCGAAACATTGATGGTGGGTAGGTTGGATACTTATTGATCAAAACCGTACACTGATACGGAACAGATGCACAAGTATATCATATCTGCGGTATTCAACCTTGCATATGTGATCGAGTCTTCAGGTAAGTAAACCTTCCATTCCCGAGTGTAGACTCCTGGCTGATCGCTGAACGAACTCGGCCTTGCAGTTGGATTGGCCCAGGGTTGTTCTTTGTACAGCTCGCTGCTGCTCAATACGACTCACTGTGGTTTTGCTGAAGATAAATTGTAATATGAATCAAGGCTTCTGTGTCTAATGGTGGCTGAGTAGCCGAGAAATTCAATCATGTAAGGTAACTTCTATGTATCGTTCGTATTTGATTGTACAAACGGGGTGACCAAGATAGCGATTTGCGACAGCAAGCTCTGAGCTGTTCTGAGTATCGGAGATTGAGCTTTGGCCTGACTCGAACAGTACGGAAATTTTCAAAATGATAAGGCACGCTTCGCCTAATATCAACCATCAGATGTGGCATAATTTTTTGGCGCCCGCCCTTGGCTTACTTAATGTAAGCCGCCACTTCAAGTCTTCAAGCTTCCAGAATCCAGCCTCAGTATAGTACTTAGTACACAATTTTGAGCTTGAGCCTAAAGCACTCAGTATCATTTCTCTTATTCGAGATAATCAAGCTCTGCGTTCATCTATCATTGACTCTGAACTGGATCTCGGATTCTCTCTCTGGCTTTTCCGTCTGTATGACAACGGGTGAGTTTGCCAGTAGCTTGCATGGAAAGACAGATATACATTTATGGATGGCCTTTTAGTTGCTACAACACGAACAAACACGAACCTCTCAAAATACGCTAGTACCTGGTTTATCTGCTTTGACTACTCATGGCCTCCCGCGACGTCGACCCAAATCGCACTATCACAGAAGCTGCAGATGATGCAGAGTCCTCGATACAGAACACCATACAGAGGCTTGATTTCGCTTTTGAACGTATCCGACATCTGAGAAGAGAAATTTTGTACCCAGAGCAATGGGACTCTGCAAACGGCAGCATCAGCAGGAACAGATTAGGCCCTGGCCACGAAGCTATCATGCTTACTGACCAGAACGAACGGGTTTACTTGGAAGAAACAGAGAGGATGGACAGAATGAGCACAATAATTCCTGCTGATACCAGGGAACGCCTCAGGCAGTTTGAAGTTCGTCATCCAGAACCAGATCGCGAGAGGTGGGAGAGGGACAGAAACAGGGATCGGGCACATTCACATCTATTGCGTGCTGCTGCTGCTCACATGCATCCCCTCGACACATCCATCTCTCCATCGTCTTCTCATCCGTCATCCGCGCAGTCTCCGCTCAACTTTACTTCCCCGCTCAGTCCTCCTCGTCAGCGGCTCTTGCCTTACCGACCGCTGGATACCCAACCGTTCAGAAGGAGAGAGTCCTCATCCTCATTATCTGATGATCCCAATACTGAGTTAGGTCGACGGGTAGCCGCTCGTGAATCTGCACAAGGCACTGCTAGGGATTCCGCCACCCGCAATTCCTCTCAGAATTCTAATACGTCTTCTCGGGACAGTCTATACAGGCTTCCCACAGTCATCGAACGGGACTTTGAATACGGCACTCGCACGAGACCTCAACGTTCGGAACCTGCCCTTCTGCGACGCTTTGATCCTTCTCTCGAACAGCTTCGACTAGAGATCGAAGGACGAACTTCTCGCAGTCTAGACAACACCGGAGTTCCGCCTTCTCCGAGCGCGGAAGCATCACTTCTTCGTGCTAATATGAGAGCTAGAGCTGCTCAGTCACGCCAGAGCTCAAACGTATCGTCCAGTTTACCGTCTGCTACATCGTCTCAAAGTCGATTGTCGTTACTATCAAATTTCGGTGTGCAGAACCTCCCCACCCCTTCTTCGACGCTCTCAAATCCTCCGTTATTATTCGAAGAGCCAACGAGCTACGTTCTAACGTCAGGAGAGGATTCGCGATTACGATATATTGAAGAAGAACGAGCGCAAGCGTTCGAAGAGAACTACATGTCTCGGGCTAGGACAAGCTGGGACAATAGAGCTGAACAAGACTTGCTGTTTACGTCCAGTCCTGTTCAGATGCATAATGACACAGATGGAACTAGGCCAGGGCACCATCGGGATAACACTGTCCGAGTGCAAAACCATGCGTTTCCTAGTATACGTGAGTTTTTTCTTCCACGTATAGTGACAAGCAAAATTCACCCAAAATATTTCTATATAGTTTCCGTTGACGCTAATGGCGACGAGGTTCGACCTGATCCTATCAGGGCTCGACAGTTCGTTGAAGGCAGCCTAGGTCTGTACCCCATGCGCAGGAATGCAACGGATGATTATCCCCTACCTCAGCCTGTTCTACCCTTTACGCATAACTCCGAGCCCGATGTTGTCTCTTCTCAAAACCACGACCCTAGAAATGTGCTATATCACCCGCTCATACCGGACGGACCATCCTCTGTGAAATACGTCCCCTCTTCCTCTGCCGAATCGAGTCTCCGGTACTTTGGAACAAACACGCCAAGGTACATTGACCCGCTCCCTTCCGCCCTGGTGGATAGAATTCTACCAGTCCAATCTCGACGTACATCTATCCACGTATCTACTGCTACCATGACTGTCATGGCGGGTAGATAATCTTTTCCAGCAATAATCTTTCTTGAGTACATATTTATTTAAGTTATCATCGCTCTTTTTTTCTTGCATTATAACTCTAACTTATTGTTGTTCATTCGTTTTCGAGTTCCTGGATTATATTCACGTACATACATACATGCAACCCAAAATTCACACTTGGTTTCGCTCATCCTTGGATTTTGGATACTCTCGATCCTCCCTTGATTGGTTCATTACCGAGTCCTGCATTCCCGTGCTTCCATGACCGTCTTCCCATGCAAAATCGCCACTTACTATCATATTTTGTAGTGCATCGTTCATTGTACAGACCTTTCTCGTATTACGGGAAATGCTTATTTATCATCCATATGCATAAATGACGCGTTAATTCTCGACTCCACATTGTACGGTAGGAAGTAGATCTGTGGTTGTACTGGCGCGTCAAGCGGATCCATAAGAGACGCAAACCAAGATCCACTAAACCATTAAGCAGGTATGGGAACGACTTTGCCTTGGCTATCGAACTCGTAAGACCTAAGTTCTGGATGATTAGGAGACAATTTTCAGTAACACGATGCTTTCAATGTACGGCAAGCGTTCCTTACCGCAATTACGGAAAACATCACCTCCCAGAAGGATTTGCAATATTCCTCGATGTGATATTATCAGCACGTTGCTTTCTGGACGAGCCTTGAGTTCCTGAAGGATTACTTCGGCTCTCTGTAACGCTCGTTCGTCAGTATGCCCCGGGTAGTCCCACAATTCATGACATCTAGAGAAATCTAAAGAAGAATAAGCAGCTTCGAACTCTGCTCTGGGACGACCCAAGTTGCATGTTGCATGGTCGTGTGTTTCTCGTAATTCAGGCCAAATTTCTACATGGATGACATTATCTGAATTGGACTGTATAGGGAGGTCTTTTAGTTGAGACAGAATTGCGTAGAGAGTCTGTATTGTTCGAGTCATTGGGGAGCAAATGATGAGGTCCGGAATGAAGGTCATATGGATGCCAGCAGCTTCTGCGAGGCCCTGTTCGGTCAGAGGAGGATCGCGCTCTGGCCATCCTCTTTGGACACTGGAGAAGTATTTAGATGAGGAGTTATAAGATGGTAAGTAGGATAACAACTGACTTGTGAATAGCTTCGCCGTGCCGAAGAGCATGGAAGCGTTTTACAGACATGGCTGTATCTTTCAAGGTAACTTTGACAAAATTGGCGTATGAGAACTTGGAAGTATTCAGTTGAAACCTCGCAATGTCCTTCTTAGCTCAGTTGGTAGAGCGCGTCACTAGTAATTTACTTACGTAATGACGAGGTCAGTCGTTCAAGTCGGCTAGAAGGAATTTTTATCCTTGGAATGAGTTGTTTTTGTTTTTTTACATACAACCTTTATGGAGGTGGGTTTTGAGTCTTCTCTCCAACATTTTTCCCTTCTCAGGATTTCCAGGTCATTAATCCGCGCTCTGCTCTTCTTTCTAACTTTGAAGTCCTCGAGCTTCTGCGCGATCTCGAAAACGACTATTTGGCGCGTACTAAAACTGCAATTCGTGTCAAAAAGGAAGAAGAAGCTTCTGGCATACCCAGTCAGGCAAAGCATCCTGCGACAATAGAGGTCACTGAGAATGTACGGACGATACAAGTTGAAGTGTGTGTAGACGTTATTATAGGTTTTATCACTGTTCTTTAACGATCAATGCTATCACAGGCAATTCAATATTTGACCGCTGAATACCAGCCGACGTCTTCTCAAACTCCAAATGGAATAACACAACTAGTCAAGGATCTGGCGAACTATAAACTTACCAAAGCCGAAAAACTACAAATTGTGAACCTAGCTCCTACGCAGCCAGTAGAACTCTATGTTGTGCGCATCTGACGCTGTAGCCTGTGTATTTCTTCTCATCATTCCCCAATACTAGATCGTTGAAGAACTGGAAGATCGACTGGGCGAATCTATGGAAAATGTTCTCTCAACGGTATCTGCGTCTTTGTCTGCGGCACCTTCGCATCCATTAAACGCGTCCTCTCCGGCGCCAGTACTTCCCATGGCTAGCTCAGACACTATGGCCGATCTAAGTCTGCAGTATCCATCAGAGGATTTCAACGATGCAGGTATGGTTAATGACATGGTTTTCGATGACGAAGGCCAAGGCGTTGGCATCGAAGGGGATTTGGACAAAGAAGAGGAAGATTAGCATCACACTTCCGCTGCGTTGAATGTGTATTTTATTTCGAAGAATTGTCTATGAATATACGAGAATATGCAGCCGATACCTTACTTTGAGATATAAGTTAATGTGTAGTAAGTTCTCCTGAAAAACCAAGATCCATTCAACATCCATCAATTCCTAGTAGTGGGTATGTTTTTGCCAAGAAAATTTCGTCCAGCGTAACCCGAAATGAGCGACTACATCGCACTGACAGTCACTCTGCCTTTGAACCAGTCCCGCATCCCCTTTGCCCGAAGACTGATGCCACTCTTCACACTCTCCGGTAAACTTTTCAAACTCCTCATACTCTTTCCACTCTTTACACTCTTGAAGCTCTCCAATGAAGGCGCGCTCCTCAATCCGGCACTCCTCAATCCCATGTTGAGCCTCTTCTCTTCGACCTCGGTAACACTCTCCGAGCTCGCTATTGGGTGCTCAGAAGCCTCGAGGTGAGGATGAAGATGCGGCGACATGGCGCCTAACGCAAAAGGACCGGATATCGTTGGACGATGAGTAGCGGTCTTTGATTCATGAGAAGAGATTGACGGAGCGCGCTTGACAGCCGAACTAGTCGTGCTGGAAGCCGTGGAGCCTTTGCGTTTCAACGAAACAAAGCTCCTTAGCGTGCCAGTACCAGTACTGCCACTCGAAGTTCGTTCCCTGCTTCGATCTGGTGTTGGTGTGACACAAGTGTCTTCCCGTTCCTGCGCACGCAGCGCGCGAGTGTTATGTGTTGGGCGGATGTTATGAAAATCTTCCACGAACCGCGTGGGGACAACGAACTTGGCGTCGTCTGCGGCAGCATTAGTAGCAGGTGAAGCCATGCCTCCTGCGAGGTTGAGATCGCTCGCTGCGTAAAGATGGGAGTTGTGAATGTAAGCATGCCCCTCCGCCGTCTCCTCGCTCGGACACCCATCCTCATTGTCTTCGCCTTCGTTCATGTCCACATCCATTCCGGACAAATCGATACCCATGTGGTTGTAATCAAACGGACCGGCACCCACAGTACCATCCCAGGACTCGTAGATCGCGCTGGCATAGTGCACCGTGGGCTTCTCAACAAATTTGACAGATTTGTTACTGCTGACCGTAGTACTCACGCTGTCCTTTCTCTGGTTCTTCCTTTGAAAGCTAGCTTCCAAACTCAGATCGACCCCAGAATCAAATTTGGATGATGAGTTTGTTCGGTCGGAAGAAGATTCAGAGTACGGCGTACGAGAGGCCAGAATGGACTTTGTGGGCGAGGGAGATTTCCGTCGTTGGACATCCATCTGAGATGTATCGTCGTCTTCGACGACTTCAATGATAACTCGATGGTGGGGTTCAAATTTAGGCTGGAATTTCCTCGTCTTCCCAATGCTATTTGAACTGGACACTCCCACAGTAGGCGATCCGGGTGTCAATGGCGTCAAAGGCGAAGAGGGCGTTGATGATGAGTTGGAGTATGCGGTAGATGTGGTAGAGGACGTCGTAGAGGAAAATGACCCGGAACGTACATGACTCGCTCTTCTCTTGACGGGAGTGTTGTATATCGGTGGCGACGAGAACGTAGGTGAAGTGGGTGATTTGTTCCCTGTGATGCGACTGGACACCGGAATGCGGGAGATACCCAGCTCTTTCAGGCTTCCTCGCGCCTTTCGCCGTTTAGGACTCATCCCATTCGCCCTATCCAAATCGGCTCCTGACCATATTGAGGGAATGGCAATGGCGGTATGGACGGCAAGAGGACTCGACGGCTGCGGTTGTCTTTTACTCTTTGCTCTACCCAATGACAATCGAGCTATTCTAGAACCTGAAGTAGGATTTAGCGTAGATGGATTCTCAGAGCGTGAGTTTGGTCCAGACCGGGGGTGTAGTATCGAAGTCCAGAAAGCACCCGTCTTACTTGGACCCGCTGAAGAAGCTTTAAACTTACTTGACGACGGTTGGCGCGTGAGACTGGACGATGAAGAGTTTAATCCTATAGTCGAAGGAATCAAGACGCCGATACTTCCGATACTTCCGATGCTACTCCCACTGCCATTATTGACATTGGTGTCTCGATTGCAGTTGACGAGATGCGCTGGAAGGTTCGACGAGCTAGCGTTCAGACAGCTTGTCGAAACGTCTGGGAAATAGCTGGCCGCTAGACCGGATCTGTACGTGGTCGAAGTAGGAGTGGCGCATCGGCTGCTGTCTGCCGTTGAGGCAGGAGAGGGTGTACTGGCGCTTGCAGTAGAATCGGAAACGGTGCGACGAGCAAATTTAATGGCGGAAGGAAGCGGAGGGGAAGCTGCAGATGGCGATTTCGGACGACGGTATATCCATTCCGAACCCGGGGAGCCACTATGTGTAGATGAGTAAGAAGCTGTGCGTTTGTTGAGACGTGGTGGTGTCTTAATTGGAAGGGATGTGCTCGTGGTAAGTATAGGACTCTCAAGTGAGCTTGTTTGCGGAGATGAAGATGAAGATGATACCGTAGCGGTCTGTTAATTAATCAAAAGTCAAAAAGTAAGGTTTAATGGTCAGATGGAAACGTTGGGCAACACGCACCACAATGTGATTCAAACTGGAACGCGAATGTCGCCTGTTGAAGGAACCTGACATACGGTTAACGACTTTTGCGCTGCTAGATTTAGTTGAACGTTGGTAGTGACGTCTGTTGTTCTTGTGGCGGGGAATTGTGGATGTGGTAATGGTGGTTGAGCTACGGCCTGAGGAGGAATGCTGATCACCGGAAACGGTAAGAAAAGATGGACGATCAACAATCTGCTAAACAACAACGCACAGATCCGGTGTTGGTTGAAAGAATGGGGCTGGTATTTACAAGTTCAGTTGTGCTAGATTCTTGAAGAATCGTATCAGCGGCATCAAGCCATCGTAGTTCATCGCTAGTAATTGAGATGAGGGAAAGGTTGGATTGCTATACATAAAAATTGTTCATCTCATGCGCACAAGACACGAAAGATCGCTCACTTGATACATCTCTGATTACCTCTCTGTGTTAATGGCCGACGGAGGAGGGCCAAAGTAAAAACACGCTGAAGGAAAGGTGGTGGGCGCGGAAGTGTTAGTATAAGGGAACGGTTATTTGTTCAGCCTCAAGCGAGCAAGAAAAAGGGAGGGTGAAGCTTTGCGGAAGCTGGGGGTGTAAAAAAGAAAGGTCGTATTAACGGCAAGCTTTTTCAATGGGCCTAACACACGGCTAGCCTCAAGAATACCTGCGTAAAGTTTTGGGAAGGGGTGAGAGCATACTTAAACCTCACGTTCCACACGTGTAAAAATTCCGATGCATTGCATAATGAAGTTTTAATAGAACGGCGAATCGTTGCGGGCGGAGGCGATAGAAAGGATCAGACGCATGTAGAACACGCTTTAAGGTAGTGATATTTTCACGTGATGCATTAATACGGGGATTCGAGACTGTGTACGACAGCGAGGGTCAAACCGAGGTGAACGAGGAACGAGGAAGGCGAATAAGAACAATCAGAGTGTCGGACGCTCGGCATGAAGACCACTCCAAATTCCCCTAGCTGCCTCTGTAGTGCTGTCTACAGTCTTCTTCAAAGATTTAATCTTGGCTCCCGAAGAGTCCAAGAGAAGTTCAACTTTTTTCTGAATTTGAGTCACTTCCAGACCGTTTAAAGGTACGACTTTATCTCTGTTATTGACTAGGTGGAACAAAAGGAGAATAAATTGGTCAATATCGAAGAGTTACATACTTCTCGGAAAAACTCACCGTAAAAACCACGTATTATTGGTTCCTTTTGAGATCGCTGCCGGACAACAACTTCAACATGAGGATTTTGCCGTGCAACGTCTTCGATGTGGTTGAGAAGAAAGGTCCGTGTGTTGGCGGACGAAGGCCATTTGTCACAATACTCGACTACAAGTTTTCTGATCTGAGGAAGGAAGGTCGTGTGGCCGTTTGCAGGAGTAGAGCCAAGTTTTGCCCGGATTATGGGCGTAACGGAAGGCAGACGCATTGAAAGCAAGCTGAAAGAGCAGCGCAAAGCTGCAATAGGTTATGTAATTTCTTCCAGGCCTTTGCATTCCGCCACTAATTTAAGTTTACCAGGTCAGTACGACCTACTGAGCTCAACTCGTTGCTTCAACGGTTATACAACTTCCTCATTAATAACGGTGTTAAATGG